AGTTGACCGCTGCCCACTACTTTGTACATCACGTTGACGTGGGGTGTGTGGGCATGGAGGGGCACACTTGTCACTTTGGGGCACTTGGGACAGGTTGCATGGTTCCCTCAGCCTTGTGGCAATTCAGGCTAAAAGCGAGCGGGCCAATCGTACAGTTCGAGACTGATGCGACGAATAGGCGCGCCAATGATCGTGTGACGTCTTGGCGGAAGCCAATGCAGCCTTGTCCCCTCGACTCGGGGGTCGGGAATAGCTCGTCCCGTGCTCTATGCGCCCTGCCGCCCTGCATACTGCCGCGTCTAAGGGTCCCGCTGCGTAGAACGCACTTGCGAGATTGGTCAGGATAGACGGGCATTTTTAACGACGAGTGATCTCATAAACACCTTGATACAAAAGTAGACATGGTTCAATACAAAGCAAATCTGTTGTTATTGAGCAGATGAGAGATATATAAAAACAAGTCTCTCGGTACGACCGGCCTGTGGCTGGCCTTTTGTGATTCCTCCCTAAACGCCGCCCTGATGCAAATGGATGCCTTGGAGGACTCTCTCCAAGAATGTTCTCTATACGTAGCAATACCCCCCTGCAGACCGGCAAAAAAAAAAGACAAAAGACGGTGGGTTGACCACGCTTCCAGAAATGGTAAGGAAAACCAAGGGTATCTCGTCGTGAATGGCAAGCTCCTCCTCCAACTGTACATAGGACTGGGCTGCCTTAGTCGTGCTTGTGACCATTGCCGTTGGTGTGGCTGTGGTCGTCGGCCTCCTCGCTAGCCTCTCGGTTGGCTTCTCCGGGGATGAACTCGTCGAACGGGCGCGCAACGTCGGCCTCCTTCGGAACGAAGCGCACCTTGATCCTTCGCACACCACGGACCTTGGCACCGACCAGAGTTCGGACCTGATCCTCCACTTCTCGGACAGCCTCAACAGACCAAGCTCCGGGCACAGCCAAGTCGATATCCACAAGGTAGTTCTGACCGGACTTGACACCCGAGACGTTGCGAACATCGACTTCGTGGCCATTGGTGACATCAGAGAGGCTTCGGAGGGCGTATTTTTGGACATCTCCCTTGACTTCGTCATCAATAGCGCGGTCGGCCAATTCGTACACGGAAGACAAAGTGTTCTCAGCACCAGCCTTGATGACGAGGAGAGAAATCATCAGGCCACCAACGGGATCCAGCCAGGTCGCATCCTTGAAAAAGTTTGCACCCAGAATAGCAAGCAGTGTGACAATGCCGGTCCAGCTGTCGACACGGTGGTGAACGGCATTGGAGGCGAGGACAGAGGACTTTCGTTCGACGGCAACTTTCATGGCTGTTTTTCTCCTTGTCAGCTTTTGTTCCTTGCAGCTACTCGGGCCTAAAAGGATTAGGGGGGATTGCGCTTACTAGCTCTGTACAGCCATTCCTTGATTGCGATTGTTCCGAGAGCCAACCAAGCAGCGTGCAGACTCGGTGTAGCGTGACCATGACCATGGCTGTGGCCGTGATGAGCGTGGGCAATGGCCTCTGCTGCAGAAGCAGGGTCGAGGAAGAGGTGAGCGTGGAGGGTGATCAAGCTGCTCCAGCACATGAACAGGCCACCGCCTAGAAGCATGCTGGAGACACCCAGAGAGCCCAGACTCTCAATCTTGCCGAAACCAGTGGGGAAGGCTTCGGTCGGGGGTTTCAAGCTCCACGAAACAGTGGCCAGTGTCAGGACGTCGGATGCCAGGTCCGTCAGACTGTGCCAGGCATCAGCAATCATGGCTTGGGAGCCGAATGCGTAGCCACCGGCGCCTTTGGCAAAGGCCATGCCGAGGTTGGAGTAGAGACCGATGCGAGTGATGCGCACGCCGGCGTCGTTCTTGTTGGCCGAGGTCAGGTAGACATTGTCGTGGCCGTGGTGGTGATGGTGGTGATGGCTGTGGCTCTTGCGAGACTGAGACGGGTTGGCGGTCATGGTGGCAGTGGTGGTGGCAGACATGATGACAGTTGCTGGTAATGAAGGGGATGAGTTCTTCGCAGCCGTCAAGGTGTTGGTGAGGTGAGGGAGGGAAGAAGCAGAAGTGGTCAGGTGGAGGCGGGCGGCGCTGGGGGTTAAGTAGGGATCGCAGGGAGAGGCGGCCGGGCTGGATGTTTGATAGACGCGGAGGGAGACGCGGCGCAGAGCTGGATGTGGTTGAGGTGGCCTAAAGGGGTAGGCAGAATTGAGGCAGCGGAGGAGGGTGTGCGTTCCCGTTCCCGTTCTTGGAGACGTCACCCACGCACTCCCACTCACAGCGGAAAGGCGGCGGAGCAGTGCCGTGGGACGCTTGGACGGGGTCGACATGCCTGGGGCCGGGTTGAGGAGTAAGGTAAGGTAAGATCCAATACCAATATGTCCTCGGCTGTGTTTGTGTGTAAGGTATGCGTGCGTATGTGTATGGATAGTGTGTACTCCGTAGGCGTGGCTACTTACGGATAGGTGTCTCGCGCCTTCTCTTTCGCTGCAGTCTCTCTCTCACTCTCCAAGCACCAGGGTCAAGGTTAATTGATGCGGAAGGGGTGAGGGGACGAATAACGGGTTGTCTAATTGCAAGCAGGCCAGGGACGCGTACAGGACAAGCCCAGCCCGAAAAGCCGCGACACACCAAACTGAACCACAACCGTACCGTGCGGTAAGTAAGGTACGAAGACTTCGTAGGTAGATCGGCAGACGGAAGGTGGACGGAGGAGAGGAGGGGTGGGTGTGTCGGGTGGTCCAGGTGGAAAGGACCCCAAGGGAGGGATGGGAGGAAGGGAAAGGGTTACGGGAACGAATTGGGGGCTGGCTTGGGGTGCAGCCTACGCCGGCGTAAGGAACGGGGGGTGAGAGTTAATTCGAATTTGGAGACTGGCTGGACTGTAGTCTGTACCCAAAACGTAGTGGAAAGCAAAGCAAGCACAAAGTGCCAAAAAGGCGCGCGCGCGTGTGTTGTGAGTGTGTGTGTGTGTGTGTATGTACGGAGTATTGTGCGAGACTGTGTCAAGTGTGTGTCTCCAGCAAAAAGAAAAGAAAGGCAACGCGGCAATTCGGTGCAAGGAAGACAAAACTTTCCCAACTGACAAGGCGAGGGTTCCGGCAGCGGCGGTAGCGGTAGCGTAGCGGCAGGGCGGGTTGGTTGATCTGATCTGCTGCAACTTGCGGCTAAGACCTACAGACTCTACGGAGTAAAGAGGAACCTCAGGTAGGTAGCATACAGAGTGCGAGTACGGATACTTACTCAGATACAAACTACCTACAAGATGTCAAGTACTCTCACTGCAATTCTTGCAGAGGCAGTACTCTGTGCAGTTGCGGCGGCTCGGTTGGTTTGCTGATGTAAAGGGTACCCCTACAACGTGCCTGTCCATCCCCCACCGAGCAACCGACCCGAGCTAAAAGACGGTGCCTGACGAGCATGGGATGGGATGGGATGGGATGGCGGGCATGTCATGGGAGAGACTGAGCAGTGAAGTGGGATGGAAAATCACTACCAATGGTCATTCCCCACAAGGCGAGAGTCGAGTGAATTGGCTCCATTTGATTGACGGATGCAACTTGAACGCCAAGAGAAGGGGAGCCCATGATACCCATCCATGAACTCAATGGGCTCCGAAGCTACGTACCCCCAGTCCTTCCGTAGGTGGCAGCAAATTTCTTCGAAACTGACTTGTTCAGTCTCGTCGCACCTGTGGACAGTGGCACGTACGTACGGCGCCGCCGGGAATTGCTATGGGGAAGAAGCTTGAATTCTCTTCTTCTCTTTTTTTAACCTTGCGCTGCGGCAACTTTACTTTTTGGTACAGTGCCAAAATGCTTAGTGTCTTTTTACCTTGTCAATACTGCGTACACCGAGGATTCGTACACGTTATGCTTCTCCATGCATTACCCGCTTTAGAGCAAGGTACCTTACTTCGTAGTGTACTTGAAGAAAGCCACGACATGCGTCAGCCACGCCCACCCACAACCAAACCCCTTGTAGACTAAGTTATGGAACCTGGAACTGCAAAATAGCCTCTCTCTCTCTCTCTCTCTCTCTCTCTCTCTCTCTCTCTCTCTCTCTCTCTCACTCCGGGTGGTTTTCCTCTCATGAATCGTAACGGATCCAGTATATCCCATCGGCTTGTGTCCGTATCCATAACGCAGTAGGTCCATCCAAAGTGTTGACGCATGCCCATCTGTCCCGCCTACCAAACAGTAACGGACATGGTCCGCTGCAACCACCACGGTAGAGACCCAAATATGACTGTCGGACTGTCTCTCTCCAGAAGGTAACTTCGTCCTCGAGCTGCATGCCCGGAGGTGTGGTTGAGCAGACATGTCATTGGGCGAAAAGGCCACGCAAGATGCCCCTGAGAATCTTATTCAAATAACAACCCAAAAGACCGCCGATCAAGCGTACACCTCAAGCGTGATTCTCCTTACAGATAGTCTATACAAATACTCCGTACGACTACGAATCCATCTCTCTAATCTGACGGAGGACGGTCACTTGTCGCAGACATCTGATGTGGCCCGTGTCAAGGCAAAACCTCTAAAGGACCCATGTTACCTAAGCGGATGCCTCTACCAAGTCAAGCCACACTGGGCTTGGTCATCTTGTGGGGTTCAGTGGATTCGCAGTCCCGGCTGGGATGCTGGTTCCCCCCCGAATCATGACGAATTGACCACTGATAATCAGATCGCCCCCTTCAACTCAACCATGCGGCTTGAAATTCGAGCCTGTCGCAACGTTTCCATTAACACGCGCTTGTCAGAAATCTCCTTCCGTCCCTTGATCGCTTCTATTCTTAAATTCAACGCCAGGGTGAACATGTCCACATAACCAGTTCCTCCCACCCCCTTTCCCATACACTCTCCTCCCTCTTTCTGCTGAGCCTCCGCCGCGTCCACGTACATCCCCCGGAGCTACCTTCCCCCCTTGACCGAGACTCTTAAGCGGCTCCGGAATTCCCTCCCACATCCCGAATAGGCCTTACGCAACCTCAACCACAACAACGCAACATCATCGCCCCAATGCGCAAACCTCTTATGCGCATTCCCTACACGGAACTCTTGGCCCCTCCCACAGTCCGTCCAAGCACCGCAAATACCATCCCCGGTGCTGTCGCGGCCCTCCAGAACTTCTTCACGGCCCCGCCTCCAAAGGGCCTGCCGAGGTCGACCGTCGTACTGACTGGGGCGGGCCTATCCGTCTCCAGCGGTCTCGCCGACTACCGAGGCGTCAATGGCACGTATCGCGTGAACAAGACGTACCGCCCAATCTACTACCACGAGTTCCTCGCCAACCACGAGGCGAGGAAACGGTACTGGGCCAGGAGTTTCTTGGGTTGGACGTCGCTTCACAAGGCGTCGCCAAATCATGGTCACTATGCCATCCGAGATTTGGGCCACATGGGCCTGATTCGGAGCGTCATCACGCAAAACGTTGATTCATTTCACTCAACAGCTCATCCTGACATTCCAACATTAGAGCTGCACGGCTATCTACGATCCACAGTCTGTGTAACTTGCAGGAACGAGTACCCCAGAGACGTCTTCCAGGATGAGCTTGCGAGGCTTAACCCGGCCTGGGCAGCCTTCCTCGTCGAAGCGTTAGCTTCCGGGGCGCTCGACACGGAGAATCCTGCCGAGCGCAAGGCCAAGGGCATTAAGTCCAACCCCGACGGCGACGTGGATCTGCCAGGCGCGCCGTACACCACCTTTAGATACCCGGCCTGCCCGCACTGCCTCGCGAAGCCGCCGTCCACGCCTGAGGGGACCAAGCACGTTGTCGAAGTCGACCACGATGGTGCGTGGAAATCCACCAGTTCCGGGGGCATATTGAAGCCCGCCGTGGTCATGTTTGGTGAGAGCATTCCGAGCGACGTCAAGACGGCGGCCGAAGAGGCCATTGACGGGGCCGGAAAGCTTCTCATATTGGGGACTTCGCTTGCCACGTACTCTGCCTGGCGGCTGGCCAAGATGGCGCTGGACCGCGGCATGCCCATTGCGGTGGTGAACACCGGAGGCATACGGGGCGAGGACCAGATCTCCGCCGTGGAAGACCCGGACCCCACGGGTGTTCGTGGAGTGCGGACAGAAGTGTCCACCGACGTCGTGCTTCCCGCGCTGGTAGAGCAGCTGCGCCAGCTGCAAAAGGCTGCCTCGGGTGAGATTGGGACCGTAGGAGCGCCAAGAGAGAACCATGGCGTGTTCAAAGATATGTTGTCATAGACCACCACGATTTGTACCAATCCAAAGCGTTGCCATTTGCATAACTAGAAAAAGCTCGACATGCCCCGCGCCGATGGCCTTGCGGCTTCGGGCACTGCCGCTGTCGGTTGTGCTTCGGCTTTGCTACTCGCCGCCGCCGTTGTTGCTGCCTCCGCCTGCCGTGCCTTTTCCTGCTTCTTTTGTCGCGACGCATCTTCTCGCTCAATCTCTCTTAGTACTAAGTAAAAACTTGTGGTCAGCATCGTCAACGCGATTTCAGCGCTTGTGAATTGTAGAACATACACTCCTCCCAGTCCAACTCCTTCTGAGCGTCGCCCGTACCCAGCGCCTTCTCCACGTCAACCGTCTCGCCCCTCTGTAGCTTCTCAACCACCTCCCGCAAGACGCTGATGCGGACATCTGCCTGTCGAGAGAACGCCTCGAACGCCTGCTTCGTCGACAGCATGTTGATGGACATGGAGCCGATCAGGAGGAAAATGACAATGTAGAACGTGGCCGGGTTCCATTCCTTCTTTCTCTTCGGCTTGACTCGCTTGATCATGGGGTCGTCGGTAAGTTTCTCTTCGGACCTGAAAGGCTTGGGGATGAGGCCCTTCCAGAAATCGAGTTGGGCCACCGTAGGAAGGGAGCTTGAATATCGCGACTGGAAGTAAATGGAGCGATTCGCAGCTTGCGCAATGACCACGGCGCGGAGGCCCGAAGAAGGTGCTGCAAACAGCCTATGTGTCGCAACTCGAGACATTTTGGGCGGGGGAGGGGGGGGGAGAGTCGACCTCTGTAACACACACACGTCGTCTTCGCTGTGCTGTCGTGTTCGAAATGGATGTTCTTCTGGAAGGAGTCAAAAAGCTTCGAGAGTGCTCCTTTCGCGGTTCTCAAATTCCGGATGGCCCGTGCATCGATGGTCCCTGCTGCACGGACCGAACCGGGATTGCGGTTGCTCCGGGCAACGACCCGGGGCATTGTTTAGCGAGACCTGACAACTGCCAACTGCAGGCCTTTGTGGACTAGCATGAAGTCACACATCAAACTACCTTTACCCACAAACGGCCATTTGCCCATGTTTGGATCAGGAAACACTTCCTATTTCCTCTTCATGAATAAAAGACTTCATGACGAAACGCCGCTTATGACCCGGATACATACAACCTAATGACTACGTTACAAAGCAAAGTCGACGCCGTTAAGGCGGCGGCTGGATCGACTGCAACATGCACATCAACAACCACGGTGCTACTCAAAGAACTTCTCGCGACCGAGGCCGAGGCGCAATCGACAGCGCAAAAGAAGAAAGTGGCCACGACAACACGAGGGAAGGCCACTGGCACAGCACGGGGGGCCGCGACTGCGAGCAAAAAGGAGGAACTGACAACAAAGGAGAAGGCCGCGCTGGCGGCGCACATAATCAATGTCGCCCTCAAATCACTCACCGAGGCATCCAAGCCTGCACTTCCCACCCAACCTTCGACCCCGTGCCGACGACAAAATTCAGGCGATGACCTGCGAAAGCCTCAAAACAAACGGCCCCTGAGGCGGTCCAACTCCATGCCCATGACCCCGATGCAGCCACGTTCACTCAACAGAACCTCGACGTCACCCACAACAACACCGAAGCCCACGAAAAGCGCGACAACGACGATTCCCACAGTCACTTGCCTTGCGACGGTAGAGTGCCTCCGAGCTGCGTTTGCGTGTTTGAGATCCCTTCATACCTCTGGCGCAGTGCAACTGCCCGACCTGCAACTCGAGAGCGGGATATCTTCATTCGTTGGCAAGCTCGTCGGACTAGACCTCCAGGAGCATGCGCTGCGGGAGCTGACGCTTTTGCGGCAAAGAATCGACGCAATGGCCCCTTCAGCGAAACCAAAGACAAAAGCAGCTAAAACAACAGCGGCAAGCACCAAAGTCAAAGGTCTCGCAGAAATCTTGGACTTTGGTGATGCCAAGTTCTCCGGCCCGACACTTTGCCTGGTTATCACGACTCAGATGCAGATCTTGCGCTTAATGTCTGCAAATAAGAAACCAGCAACGATCGAAGCAGCGTTGCCATTCTTGGTCCCTTCCCATCCGACTTCACCGATCAACCTCCTCCTGGAATCAGCCAAGGAGTCCCCCTCAGCGAAGACGAAGGCTGCGCGACAGCTCGATCTCCTTTCACAACTTCTCCTCTCTCTAGCCCCGAGCTTGGCAAGCAAAGACGATGACGTTGCCGTGGACTGCCGTCTGAGTTGCACCCCGGCTACTGCGCTGGAATTACAAACCCTGGGATTGGAGGCGCGTCTGCATTGGTGGCACATGGCTGGCCACAAGGCAGATGTGGACAAAGACATCATTTCACCACTTTCTCGGTGCATCACCTCATATATTCGCAGGGTCAAGTCTGACTCAGCCGGGGCATATCGCAAGTCTCTCAACGCTTTCGATCGCATCATCACCATGGTCAAGAGTCAGCGCCTGGAGCCGAAGGTCGCTTCAAAATCACCACTCGTTGTGATTTACCAGGCTTTGGGAACGGTGGCTCAGACTGCTCGCCATTTCACGGAAGCAGCCGAATGGATTTCGAAAATCAAGGCGACTCTGGACCCAGCCAACGATTCCCCCGCAAAGCGCTGCGCGGTTGCCGCACAGCTTGTAGCTGTATACGGGAAACAGACACCTTTACCTCTGGAGTCGCTGTCTACGTACTTGAAGGAAGTTTACGACGCCCTCCAAGGGACGCTGAAGGGTGACGTCACAGAACTCGAAGAGCTCATGGTCAATCTATCAGCTGCTCGTAGGTCGGCAGTAGGAATTTTGGCTGGCAAACTTACGGATAAGTCTCAAAGCTTAGACGGACTCCTCAACGACCTCGTCCTCCAATTTCCCCGATTTGCCCTTCGATGGCTGGGGAAGCAGCCGACGAAAGACGCTTCCCCAAAAGATCTCGTACGCTACGAGTCGAGGAAACAGTTATTACTTACTTCGATAACACAAATCCTGGACTCGGCCCTGATGGTCGCCAAATCTCAACTTGACGACAACAAAATGACCTGGACAGTGCTTGACGGCCTACTTCAAGAGTGCCTCATTCTCTTGGACCTTGTAGGCGACGCGAGTATCGCTCTCTCGAAGGCAGACGCCTCAAACCTCTACCATGTCAAACTCTCGCACCTCTACTTCATGTTCTTCAACTGGTATCGCCGCCACGCCGAGTCTAAACCCGGAGATAAGACTCCTCTTCGAGCTCTGAGACGATCTGTAGACTGTGTCAAGGACCGATCCTCTGAGGAGAAGGAGAAGGCGCAGACAACAGCGAAACTCGAGTACTTTGCGGACCTCTGTAAGCAGGCTGGTCGAGTCAACGATGCTCGCGACGCACTGAAGCTCATTTGCACGAACATGGTTGAAGACGGAGTATTGTCCACGGTGGCTGCATCTTTGGCTGAGAGTTCACCTGCAGTGGCCTGGAGCGCCAGCGTCAAGGCCGAGACATTGTCAAGGACAATAGGTACAATGGTCAAGCTCGATCAATCGTGGAATGATTGGACTTTCTTTCTTGCGGATGTTGAGCGGGCTGCGGTCCTGGAGCGCATCATTCAACTCATCCTCTTCAACACGTCTAGCGACCCCAAGCCTAACGACATTAAGGACCCGGTTACCGAGGCTCTTTTGAGAATCTACGCGCCCGATCGCTTTCCTGTCCGCCGCCTTCGGACGTTGCTGCAGCTACTTACCATGTCAATCGGCGACAAAGGCGAATTTCAGAGCCTTCGAGAGCAGGCAGAGGCTGCTTTGCAGCTCTGTCGTGACGGGAACTTTGGCGATGACGCTGGTCTAGCTGATTACGTCTCCGACCTCGAGGCCGGTCTCTCGTCTACACTGGCACTCGTTGCAACAGAGACAGAATGGCGTACAGCCGACTTCGAAGAGTCAACGAGTATCTGGCGTTCGATTGTCAACCAGTGCCAGACCAAAAACGATCTCCTATCCAAGGTTAGCGACACTGAGGGACTCATTAGGCAGCTCAATTCCATTGCCGAGTATGCAAGACTCAGGGGCGAGGACGAATTCTTGTTATCGGTTTTGACATTATGTGCCGACATCGCGTCCAAGCTCTCCGATTCCTCCACGGACTTGCTTCTCCAGGCGCAAAGTAACCTCGCGGATCAATACACACATCTTGGTTACTCCGAGAAGGCTGAAGAGATCCTCAACAAAGCCAAGAAACTCGCGGAGGCCTCAGCTACCAATCCCGACCTTGGTGCCGTAAACCTTCAGATCTCCCTCTCTGAGTATCAGCTGGCAAACCAGAACTCTGACGCGGCGTAAGTCATATCTCCCAAAAGATTGAGGGCAGTCAGCTAACAATAGGCAGCCACAAGATGCTGCTGCAGGGCGAGACCAGCTTTGAAAACTCTTCCAGTGTGAGGAAAGCTCCTAGGCTCCAAAGAAAGTTGCTTTTGGCAAGAGCTGCTAGTCTTTCTTCCCGAATTAACTGGGACAAGGGCGAATATCAGCATGCTTTGTTTCACGCCAAGACGAGCGTGCGAATCTTGTTCCAGGACTGGACGAAATTAGAGGCTCGCTGGAAAGATGTGCCCAAGGCAGAGTCCAAGCAGACCTCTAGAGAAGGTTCTCCTGATGCGGAGGAAAGCCTTGTATCGACTGGCATTTCGACAAATCTGATCGAGCTATCCGACGGTCCTGACAGCTGGGCACTTGCTTGTGGTCTTCTGAGAGCCATGCTGCACCTTTCTTCCGTATACGCTCACCTGGGAATGTTTCAGGAGACTGTCTATTATGCCGAGAAGGCGCACCAGGTTGCCAACGCCACAAACGCCTCCATCTACAGAGCTCAGGCTGCTAGTTGGATCGGTTCGGTATGGCTGAAAGCCTGCAAACTCGACAAGAGCCTTGGCTACTTGAATGAAGCAAGGCAGCTCATGGCTACGGCTGTCAAGCCTACACGTCAGGCGTTCCAGCTGGCTTGCGAGCTGAGTGCCTCGTTTGGAGAGATGAAGGACCACGAGAACGAGCATCTACTCCTTGAGCTTGCCGAGGTCACGCTTGGAACCTTAAACAACAGCAACCGAGGCGCAATCACTGGCGTCAACGATGAGCAGGTGGTCAGTAAGATGGCAAAGCTCACGCTCAAGGCACCGGCTGCGCGCAGAACACGAGTAACTAAGCCAGCGGTCCCAGCTGCCACGAGAGCGACCAGAGTTACGAAAAGAGTGGCAGCGCCCAGGACAAAAGCTGCTGCTGCTGCTGCTGCTGCTCCAAAGGCCTCTGTCATTGCAGCAAACGATAGCGCATCCGACCTCAAAGCCTCCATGCTGTTGTACAAAGCACTTGTCCACCTTAGTAAGGGTGACTGGGCAGCAGCAGCAGAGCTTCTCGAGGAGGCGAAGCAGATGTCTAGCAGCTTGCGAGAGTCTCTGCGAGTCCAGATTGGTGAGGCTACTTGTTTGATTGAACAGGGTATCAAGCAGATGGAGGGCGATTCAGTCTTCTCGGTTGTGAAGGAATCAACCATCTCTTACCCGTCCATCCACGCCGCAACCGACAAAAATAACACGGAAAAGACGCAACCGACGGCATCCTCTCCGCGAAAGGCGCAAGGCCGTGCTACCTCTGCCGAGCGTAAGGTGATGAGAGAAAACGCAACCTTTGTCGAAACTTTGGAACAAGCGCAAGCTCAGCTCATGGAAGCTCAAGCTGCCGCTGCTATTTCAGGAAATGGACACCTGGTTCGTCGCATCT